ATCACACACCGGTGTGTACTCACATGTTCATTATTTTTTATATGTAGTTGCAGATCCTGGTGTTCTGCAGTTCAGTCGGCACTGACGTAAGTTCCTTTTTTCCCCATTTGCTTTCTCAATTAACCAGACCATATTTGTGCTATATATCATAGTTGTGTTCGTCATATGACTCCTAGGGTATATATTACCCTTTCAGATATTGGTTCCTACGCTTGCTGGACTATAGCGGTGCTAATGCTTGACTTCATCATCATTGCTAAATATGGATGCTCTATTTTTTGTTCAGATAATCGTTGCTCAGTATATATGCTCTGCATCCACAATCATGGACGCAAATTAAACATCCTGGAGTTTCTTTTCCAATCTTGGTAATCATGCTTAAAATTTTCAGTGTTAAGATGTGAACCACTGTTATGTGTACCTGAATATTAGCAACCACTTTAGCTCATTTATCTACTGCTTGCAATTGATTCTTTTTAACATATATCCACATGTGGCCTGAATATACTAGAGATGCTTGACACCTCCATTTTCAGCATAATAATATAGTTTGAAACCTCATGCTATATATCACCTTTTAAATGGTCAGAAGACAACAAAAGAGAGTTTTGTTTCTTCTCAGAGTGGTCTTTGATGTGCTTCATTTTTTTTTTCTTTCAACTCAATTACACCATATCATTGTTTTGATAAATAAGTACATCATCGTTTCTCTTCAATGGCTATGCCACAGATGTTATGTCAGATTGTAGAATGACAGGACCTGTCAAACCTGCTCTGTAACAATCTGTACATGTTTTTCCATTGGGATGCAGGGTTACAGTTGGTAGATCCACACCCAATGTAGGTATAGATGTTCATTCTTGCACCATATGACTGCAGATTATTCGATTTTCTAACTTTCTCAATATACTATTTTTGGCAAAGATTTTTTTCCTCGCCTCGTGCTTCCTACCTGCCTATATGTGCAGAGTTTGTTCTTTAAAGCCTGGCAGATTTTTTTTATTTCATCTGCTTAATTTTGCATGGAGAATTACCGTAATATCTAGGTGGCAACAAACCTGTAGATGTATTGAAGTGATATTTTTGGAATAGTTGTTCAAGCATAATCTTGAAAGGGACCTTTATATGTCCACTCTTCTCCAGGGTATTGTGTGCCAAAGATTTCATGCCCCTAAACGCGGTCACTGGATTATGGGTTATGCTTAGCTGTTTACTTTGCATGATGGTAAATGTTTCATGGTTTGATCTACCCCATTCTAGCATTGACATGACTTTAATTTATTCTACCATTGACATGACTTTAATTTATAATGATTAGCCCATTTCTTAAATTACTCTCATCTTTGATTTTGCAGCAGACCAAATTGACTAAAGCTCGGATGTGGTTTCCTCTCAATACAAACAATCAGTAAAGGGTGTATAGCACATTTGGTAATTTATTTTTCTAAGAGTATAAGAGAATAATTGTATAGCTTTTGGTTAGCCTCTACAATTTTGTGTGATTTTAAGTTATTACTGTGATTGCTATCAGTCTTATCTTGATGCTCTCACCATACGAAATGTAATTGCCAATGGATGGTTGAAATTAAAACGTCGCAGTTTTCTCATAGGCCCGTTTTTGCTCAGATGTGTTAAAACTGTACGTGTGATGGTATTTGAGCATTAGGCATCATATGTTCTTGCTTTAAAAATGTTTGAAGTGGGGAAATTAGCAACGTTGTCAGTCTACTAAGGTCAGGCAATGCAAAGCATTTGTTGGCTCATATCCCGAACCTAAAACACGCATGGCCCCAGAAAATAACGCAAACACAGCGCTCCGATGCTATACGGCAGCAGCGTCAGCGCGCCTGTCGTTCTAGTACTATATGTTCACTGTGTAGATCTACTCATGTGGAGTTCAATAAAATTGGATTTTCTATTTTATGATTTTTCTATAATTTACTATGATTTTTCAAAGATTCATCCAAAATAAATAAAAAAGAAAAAACAAAATCACCTTTGAATATCGCTTATAACCGGTCAGGAAGGTAAAACGAACAACTTTAAAAGTTAATGGAGGTGGTTCACCCGATTTTGGAGTTAAGGGAGAAAAAGTAGACTTGCAAAAATTGAGGGAGATAATTAGATATGGCCATGCAACCCGAGCTCGTCGGCCCGGCACGAGGCCCTTTTTTTTGGCCCGACCCAAGCACGGCCCGGCCCGGTGGTGAGCGGGCATGGGCTAGCACGCCCCGGAGGAGTAGGTCGTGTCTAGGCCTTACCCCAGGCACGTGGGCCGGCACGACACGGCCCGATCCACAAAGCATGGCCCGGTGGCGGGCCGGCCAGCCGACCTGCTAAGAGCCCCAGCCGGCCCGGCCCGTCCCCACCCCAGCCCCCCTGCCCCTAAGGATGGCAACGGGTCGGGTTCGGATCGGGTGGAGTCTCCGTGCACCCAAAACCGAAACCCGAAATCGAAACCCGAATCCGCCCCGAAAACCGATTCGGGTGGAAATCCATCACCAAAACCAAACCCGCGGATACCCGAAACCCGAACGGATACCCGAAACCCGAATGGATACCCGAAACCCGCGGATATATATACACATATTCACATGTATAAACAAGAGGCAACAAATAATAAATATTTTCATGAGTCAACTTTAAATAAATTTAATAATCTAAGTAAACAAATTATTATTAGTATATTATAAAACATGAGTTTTAATTCCAAAAATGATTTATTTTGGATATCCATTGGATATCCACGGGTGGAAAACCAAACCCAAACCGAACCCGATTGGTTTCGGGGCCCAACTCGAAAACCGTGGGTGAAAAACCATCCCCAAACCCGAACCCATGAACCCGAAACCCGCGGATATCCGCCCCAAACCCGATCCGTTGCCATCCTTACCGCCTCGAATCTGCCGAACCCTATCCATTCCCTCCCCTCGCAGCCCCCCTCCCCCACGCCACAGTGCATTGTCGCCTTTCGCTCCTCCTCACCTCTGCGTCGGCACTACGGACGCCCTCCTTCCCTTTAAGTCCGGGCGAGGCGGCGAGCACGGACGGGGACGCCTCCTCCTCTCTCCTCGGCGTCGCCAGGCGCCTCATGACCTCTCCTCTCCTCCACCTGCCTCCTCCACGCCCCTGCCACCACTAGCCGGCGCCCGCCTCCTCCACGCCCCCCGCACCACTGCCCCGCAGCCGCCTCCTCCACGCGCCCCGCACCATTGGCTGGCCCCTGGCGACTTCGAGCACGGCGGCGTCGAGCGCACCAGCGTCGAGAATGGTGGCCGGCCTCGAGCGGCTCCTCCGAATCCAGCTTCGAGGGCGTCAGCCTCCTCCACCGCTCCACGCCTCCTGCTCCTGCGGATCCGCGTCGAGCTCCTTGGTGGTGAGGGCACCGGCCTCCTCCGGATCCGGCGTCGATCTCCTCGGCGGCGAGCGGCGGCGACCCCCTACACCTCTCGGGCTCCCCTTCACCCTTCCCCTCTCTCTCTTTCGGCAGCCAGTGGGCCTCGGGCTTGCACGGCCTGTGAAACTGGCCGTGCTTCTCGGGCCGGCCCGGCACGAAAATAGGCCCATAGTGTCGTGCCTGGGCCGGAGGCCAGGCCCGTGGCCTTGTGAGGCACGGCGTGCCATGCCGGCCAGACCCCTATCGGGCCGTGCCTGGCACGGGCCCGTGCCCATGCCGGGCCGGGCCGGCCCTTTGGCCATGTATAGAGATAATGTGGACTTTTTCCTTATTTGCGCCCGGTAGGAGGACCCAGGTAGAGCCCACTGATCGATTCCTCTGGCTCCCTGCCGCACCTACTAGGCAACCGGCCCACTGGAATACTACATGAACGGCCCATGAAAGGCGAGCCTGCCCTCGTCGGCCGTCACGCTTCTCCGCCTTCCCCGCCGCCTCCCCGCCGTGGCGCCGCCCCGCCTCGTCCACTGCCGCCGCCGCATCGATTGACCCCCGGACCACGCGGTAACTGTTTCCATCTCCCCTCCTTCTCGCTTACGCTCCGTTTATTCCGGTGCTACTCGCTTCCCCATCGGTTGGCCACTAGCCCTACTACACTTCTAGTCGACCGTTGGAATTTCTTCCTCTGATTGTCCTGTCTGGTTAACAAGTGTTGGTTGGGTTCCGCTCCGGGAACGGTGTGTAAGCTCCTGCCGCGCTTGCTGATCAAGTGTATAGCTGCGCATGCGTTGGATTGGCCTCTTCCATTCGTCATCAAGTGCGTAGCTGAATAACGGGTGTTTATGGATTGCGCGACCCGTATCATTTTTTTTTTGAAACAAAAGAGACCCATATCGATTGATAAGGAATGAAATATGGAACCTTGTACTGATTCTGTAATCTGTTATTCGGGCTGTTGTTATCCCTGTCCTTTCCGTATCAATCCTGCTGTGTTCATCTTAAGCTTGTTATAAGTTATGCCGTGATGACTTGTGGTGCTGGATTATGTGGCATTAATTGATAAGCCCTAGTTGCCACTGCACCTGGATCAATTGACTATGTGATTTGTTCAGATATGTTAGCTGCAATCCCGTGCTTATGCTCTTGTTTGTAACATTTCTTCTTATATCTCAGGCGGTAATCGGGGTGTTGTAACATTTCTTCTTATATCTCAGGCAGTAACCGGGATGTTGCATATATGGGGAATTCGAAGTATATGCCACTCCCTATGTTTGTGTTTTAGAATATGTTACCCTATGTGTCACCCCAAAACCACCAAAACCCATGCCTTAGAATATGTTGAAAACTTGTACAGAGGCATATCCTGAAGAATTGAATGTATTGATATTCCCTTGCCAAAAAAAAAGAAGGAGAATGTGTTGCTATTGCGTGACTATCTGTCTATCTTACATGTGCTATTTGTGTTCTGAATAACTTTATACATACAGTTTCGGAATGGCACTGAAGACTCAAGATATCCTGAAATTGAATATGCATTGCTATTGTGTGACTGTCCTACATGTCTGTTCCTGGAATTCTGGTTAACATTTATACATACAGTTTCAGAATGGACGCTGAAGACTCAAAAGATGTGCTGAAGAATGTGGACTGGAAGACTGTGGGTGGTGCAGTGACGACTGAATCTAGCAAACCAATTGTTAAGAAGCGTCTCCCAAAGAAAATCAGACAAGTCCCTGATTGCTATTTTCTCCCTCGGCGGTCTTGGCCTTCTGCACTGGCAATCTATGGTGCTTTATGTGCTGCTGGCGTTGGTGCAGGGATGCTTCTTGAGGTTTGGATAAACAAAAAGATCAAAGGTATGTTCCTGCATTTCATAGCAGGAGCAAGATCAAATGCCCACTTGATTTTCGTACCTCAGGACTGTATCTGGGAAAGTTTATGAGTTGTTCTCTTCTATTATTGGATTATGAGGAGTTGTACTGCAGAAAGCATGGATTAGGATTGCATACTTGCTTATGTACTCATACTAATGATATCATATGCATCTTCTCACTCTTGTTCATTGCTGCATCCAGAGGACAGTGGCATTATCTGGGAGATGGATAAATGATGCACAGCATGCTTTGTTGTGGTAAAACCTGCCTTGTCATTATGGACACAGCTAGCTCTGAAGATTTCTGATGGAAATTGACACAGCCTTGTTTCTGTATCTGGATCATTTATGGCAGAATGATGTTCCAAACCTTTGAGCCTCATTAGTCGAATAAACTCAAATTATCCTAACAGTATATGAAACTGCTGTTCTGGTGGCCAGCATCGCCTGGGCACTGGTAAGCATTACTTTGAACATTTCTTGTTTATGTTTGTCTGATGGTTCAGTGGCATGCTGTGGTTGAATTTGGTGAACAATGTCATTTTCTGTTGCGTCAATGACTTTTGCGGAACGGCAGTATATCATAATACCGTGGATTCACCTTTATATAAGCAGACACTTTACTGATTATATGGGCAAACACAGGGGTAATGTGCTGTCTCTGAGAAGCATAATGGACCTTTTTTTCTACATCTTCTATAAGATATTGGATCACTCCAAGTTGAGATAAAACCTTGAAATCAGATGCAGAGAACTTTGATATATGCTCGACATTCGCTTACCCATAAAGAATTCCCAGCATTATACCTTTACCCAGACTAGTATGAGTAAATTGTGCGAACTTCCTCCTTTGTTTTGCTGATATTGTACGTTTCGACTTTATTAGGTCTCTCTTTTCATTTTGGAAAAAAAAAACATGCGGTCAACGTTACTGCTATCATTTTGCTTGCTGTTGATCTATGTTGTCTTACAATTTTTGTTTGTACTAACTACTGGTTGATGTTCCAGCACTATTAAGCTTTGTTTTTCAATTTCTTCTATGATCTGGGTCCTCTTTCTCATGCACTCACATGCTTTTAAGCATAGCCTTCGCATCAGCGCCTTGTAAAGCCACACTTGCCAGAAACATGGCTGCAATTGCTCCAACCCAATATAGTATGAACGACAAGACATTAATCTCGTCTGTCATCTCCATCCATGCCTGCTGGGAAGCCCGGGCGCAGGGGCAATTAAACTAATCCAGGGGCCATTAATGTTGCAACCAGATTTGATTAGTGCAGTTAATGCAGGGATTGACTGGCCTAAACCTGCCACTAGTGCTTCTTCCATTATTAATCCGTCCATTCCCTTGGATCTTCAGCTCTGCAAAGGAATGTGTCAGCAGTTAATGCTGGCTGCTGACTTCGCGGGCGTCATCCCCCACTCCCCGTGCACTCTTCTTCTTTTTTAGAATTGACGAGGGAGGGGAGAACCAAACCGCGCAGTCGTGCGTGCACTCTTCATGGCCCCTTGTCATCGGGTTATATGAGCCTCTCACTAATCAACAGCTAGCCAAGATCTAATTGATTGATTAATTCACTCCATCATTCCATATTTTTTTGTGTTTTTGTGCGCCTATAAGATTTTGGTAAGATCCTTGATGAGGTGAGAAGAATCAAGCTGTCAAATTTTGCAGTGGAGTTGAATGTTATCTCTACATTAAATATGTTTTGATAGGGAATGTGTAGGAACTGAGATGGAAAGATCGTGGTGTGTGTTGAAGAGAGATCATGGTAAGATACAATTTACATCTCACGTGGGAGTACTTTGTATCTAGATGATGTGAAGCTTTTAAAGGCTAACTTGAGTGTCCAATCCATTTGTGTTGTGCTATTAGCGCTTCTTAGCACAGTTAGTGTTAGCAGTGATGCCATACTCAACTCTGTACAGCTCTTTGTTTTTGTTTCCAGTTTTTTTTCCCCCTTCTTCAGTTTTGCCCTTCCTTGCTGCCTCCCAGGGCACCTCCTTCTCTATGCAGTGAAAATGGGCAGAGTCTTGTGCCGGTTTCGTCATTAAAAAAAGGCGGGTGCATGTGTACAAACAAGTCAGATTTTACCATTCGTTTAATTTGAGGAAACTGGTTCATAAAGCTGGTACTGATCTCGGTCATTTTCCAACTGCTATGGTCTTCATCTCTTTACTTTTACAAGTTGCAGGGTCTTCTCAATCATATCAGACAGTTTATTTTCACTTTATCGAAGAATCTGAGAGTATTTTGCTACAGAAAGGCATAGGATCCTCTTTATTATTAACCGATATCATTTTACAAGATAACACCGAGACATGACTCGTAGTGGGGGCATTAGAATAATCCCGGTGGTTAATGACCTTGTTCGTCCTTGGCATATTCCTAAAGTCTAATCCTGTCTCTGAATCTTCTGTGTTGCTCATATAACTGCATGTACCTGTCTATCTGTTTCTCATTGGATGCCGAATACGTTTCGTCATCTGATGAGTCGTTTACTTCCGCGCCGCACGCGCGCACGGAGCTGAGCACGTGCGTGTCATAACGCCTGGCTTCTGCGATGTACATGTCGCACGTGTGCAGGGCAGAACTAGATGAGGTCAAACTACATGGATGAAACCTGAACAATCACCGCTCGACAGTGAAGCCTTGTGAGTTGTGACTTCTATGTAGAACGTGAATATGACCCGTTCGGCTGATCAGCTTTGGGCTGATTTTGGTTGATTTCGATGATTCAATTGGGTTGTTCGGCTGGCTGAAAAATAAGTCAAAATCCGGCTGGTTTGTTGTGAGAGAAAAATATTGTTCTGGCTGAAATACACTGTTCTTATGAACAGTGCCCGTGTGAGTGGGCTGGCCAGCACCAGTCCAGCCAGCCGAACACGCTGAATAGTATTTTGTGAGAAAGAATAAGCTGAAACAAGAGAAGACTTGATCAGCCGAACGGCTTTATTGTTTGGGAAATAGTAGAGGATTACGTTGCGTAGAGAAATGAAGTGTCCTGATTGATCCACATGAACGTCTGAAGAACTTGCTTGACCTCGTTGTCAAATGTCAATATCCGTGTAGAGTGCCTCGAAATCTGCTGAAATGTCACTTCAAAATCAGTGAATGTTATTGTTGCTCAAAAAAAATCAGTGAATGTTATTTGAGGTGAAACACTTGGGCCTCCTTTGAAATAGCGTGTGCTCTATTTTCCAAGATGCGTGCGGGAGTTTAGCTGATTCAAGGGAAATGTTTCCTTTCTTGGCATGCGCATGTGACCATACTAGCTATCCTGGCCGTTCATCTCCATCTTGCTTCATGAATCTCGACGCATCATTCTATCTACCTACCATGATTCTTTCCACCTATTTCTTGCCAGACGAATTACTATGGAGATAGTCCTTGTGGTAGATTTCGTATAAAACCTCATCTGGAATTCTGGATGTAGATAAAAAGACCTGGAATTTGTAAAATAGGCCTTGAACTTGTGGATACTTTGATGAAGAGTGGTGGTTTGATGCTAACAGAACAAATGTGTTTTCTGGTAGGATGTGGTTGCCATGAAAGCAAATAATAATAAAAAAAAACTCGGCCCACGGGGGTAAGGGCAGTCCCAATGGTGTATTGATGATGATTTCTATCCTCATTAAATGACTTGTCACGTAGGCAAAACGCTGACATGACAACGTAATTAATGAAGAAAGAGAGTAAAAATCCTAGAAATTGTTTTCTCATGAAGAAATCAGGTCTTCTCTTGACCCAATGCACCAAGAAACCATAAAATCGTCATTGGAGAGAAACCACCGGTTTCTAGGGGGCTCGTGCCGCACTCCTATTGGAGGAAGAAGATGTAACACCCCGGTGTTATGCCTACATTTAGGCACTGCTAATCATACATATCATGCATCATCAAGCATCCTAATCATACCTGCATAATCTTGCATATAACAACTGGAACATTACTTCGAAACATACGAAACATGTTTGTGAAAAGTAAATGATGCATACACTTATTAGAGTTGTTTTGCTCTGATTCTTGCTTGCTAGTTGAGTAGAAATTGTTGGTTATGCTTGTAAATCATCTAGAATTGTTTAGCACAATTTTTGGAGCAAGGTTTGTATTCAAATTAATTCAAAAATTTTGCTTCCAAAGTAATTTCCCAAAATTAGGGTTTTGAGTTAAAATTTAACTTTGAGTCTATAATTTAAAATCTAGATAGAATTGGACTTTGGTCATAAAAGCAAAGTTGTAGGGAATTAAATTCTAAGCAACTTTCATTTTTGGTCCATTTTCAAAAGATGTCATTTTCTTGCTCAAAATGAGATTTGAAAAACTGGAATTGAAAATCTCTTGAAAATTTAAATTGAAAATCTTCATTTTCCTTAATGAGCCACCGCCTCACTTCAGCCCGACAGTGGCCGCCCAGCCAGCCTCCCTCCCACCCAAGCGCCTCGCTTCTTCCACAGGCCCGGCCACCAGCCCAGCCACAGCTCTCTCTCCCTTCGCCCACATGGCCATCAGCGCTATCACGCCTAGCCATGATCACAGCGGAGAATCCCGCCATGGCGACTCACATGCCGGCGTCGCCATGGCAGCAGCTCATGGGCCCGACACCGCCCCCCACCGCCCGCCTTCACTGCTGGTGCCCGCACAAGATTTCGCCACTCGCCAAGCGCCCCTTTTCTCCCCCTCAGAGCCGAGCCTCGAGCTCCAGCCTCGCCGCCACGCCCAGCTCCGCCGCGTTGAGCTCTCGCGCCGCCGCGCGCCATTTCCCGATTGCTCGCGCCAGCTCCGCCTCGCCTCCCTTGGCTCACGCTCGCGCTTGCGCCGCCTTCCGAGCCACAGGTGAGCTTCCCCTGCCACCACCGACGTCCATGGCGTTGCCGTGCTCGGCACCGTGGGCGTCCTCTTCCTCCTTTCTCCCGTGCTTGGCTGCTCGCTCGCTTCCGCCATTGCCTCGCACAACTCCTGCGCTTTCGTTAAACTTACTGCTGCCGTGGCGGAGATGGCACGCCGACCGGGCGAGCAGCAGCCGTCGCGCCAGCCCAACACAGCCCGAGAGGCACCACACTACTCGGTGGCGGTGCCGAGCCGAAGTAGTGGGTTGACGCCTGTTGGGCGTCTTCCTTCCCTCGGCGCTCGGGCCAGAGCAGGCCGGTTGTGGCCGTGGGCCAACTGTTCCCCACAGGGGCCGCCCCAGATTTCTTAAATGAATTGATTTCCATTTATTATTTGTTAATTGAAATCAAATGGTTTGAAAAATATTTGGGTGATCAAACTTGCTCCAAATTTGTTGAAACAAATTTTGCTAGGTTCCTTATCATCAGATCTAATTGGGAAAATTATTGCATGTCATTTTTGGGATATTTTTCTGTAGGATTTTATTTAATCATGAATATTGCTGATAACTTGAAAAATATGTCGAAAAATCTATAGGCTTCAGAAAATATGATTTCAAGTTTGTTAATCTTATTATGTAATGTACTTCCTAGGAAAAATATGTTTCATGCATGTGCTGTGGGAAAATTTTGAGGTGTAGTTCAAGTACCTTTAATGGCTGAATTTTGTTA